GCCCGGGACGCGAAATCGAACATTTAGGGCTGCCGCCGCGGTGTCCTCCTTCGGATAAGCGACGATCGTCTCCGCGTATTCGTCGTCGCTTGAATAATGCATGGCGCGTACATCGAGAGAGAGAGAGACAGAGAGAGCGACCGGTGGGATTAAAGCGACATCGCCGGGGCGAAGGGAACGCGAGGGGAAGTTTGAGTGCAGAGAGGGCCCCGCGGTCCTTCCTCACGAATCGAGTATCGTACCCGAACGACGCGGCGTGATATCCGGCGACGATCCCGGGGCTGCGCCCCACATACAGCACGCCCGTTCCTGTTTCGGTACCTCGTGCTTGTCGTCGTCGTCGTCGTCTTGAGGTCCGCTCGCGCCGCCCACGCAGCGTGTTGAACTCCAATCTTATGTTATGCTAATAACGCCGCCGGGGAACATCGGGCTCGATACTGGACTGAGCGCCGGATAAGATAACCGGAATCCCCGACGCGGCCACTGCCCCCCCCCTCCCCCCTCACGATAATTAAGGTATACATCTGCATCGTGCCCGTCTGCTCGTCTAATATGGTCGTATATGACCGTCTTTTTCTTAATCCTCTTATTTTCTTCCGCTTGCGCTCGCGCGCGCGCGCGCTAGAAACTTTGCGACGATGGCGTTTCATCGAATCCCCCGCGGATTAGTGTCGTGGAATGTAAATCGAAGCATTAAGCTTGGCGATATCTTAATTGAGGCGGGCCGATTTCAGCGGCTGCGTTCCGCCGCGGAGATTAGGGCAAAAAAGTATAACATCCGTGGGCTCGTGTCCCCCCTTTTGTGTTAATTAAGGAATTACGAATACAGCCGGCGATGGTCGTTTTACCGAGATAAATATTATCGCGCCAAGTTTGGACAGATTTGGAGGGCAGATTAGCGACGAAATCGCAGATTGGCTGGATATCACCATAGAAATGCGTAATCGTATCATTTAATTCTGGTCTCTGCGCATTTCGAAAATAATTATGGAAACACGATAATATGTGTAATAATAATTCTGACAATTATAACAATATGATAATGATATGTAATAATTATTATTAAAACAGTTGCACACACGGTGTAAATTGAATGCCTATATTTCCAATATTCGTAAATATGCAACGCAATTAAAAGTGCAATTAAAAACTTAGATTCTTCACATTTATTTTAGATTTTAATTTCATTTTAACGACATATTGCACAGAAATAAATAAATTATTGTCGAAAATATTATAAATGCTAATTTAAAAATAATTTAACGCACCACTCATATCAAATGCTAATTGAAAAGCATTTTAACACATCGCTCGTGATTAAAACTAAATGAAACAAGTCGATATTATCGATATTAAGAAATATCCACCCTTTGAAATAAGTCAATCGCTCGCTTTCGTCTTTTTCGGATTTTCACATAAACGATCGGCGAGACCACGATCATCCACGAAGAGTCAGCCGCGTCGAAGGAAATAATGGTAACCCCCCCCCTCTCGTCCTCCCACACCATTGCCCATATGTAACATCGGACGCGGCGGAGTCTGAAGGGGTTACAGGATGCAATATCGGTGCAATATTGCTCCGAATATATAAGAGCACCGTCTATGGTACCGGCGCCCGCCGAAACGGCGGAGCGATACCGCAAACTGTTTCTATAACTCACTATGAGAAAGGGAGAAGAGATGATAGCGGCGACGATCACTCTCCTTACCGAAAAGTTCATCGCGACCGAGAGGTTGTTAACCTCCCCCGACCACTGCGAAGAAATCAAATCCGACCACGGCGCAGACATTTTCGTCAAGTATCGGAAGACCGTAACTAGCTTTTGATGCACTGGGTGGCTTCTGTACATTAAAAACTTTCGGGATATTAAATTTTCTGTGCGTTATCTTGCCGTCCGATTGTACTCGCCTACTCATTACAAAAGTACTAAAAAGCAGAGTTGAAGCCTCGACCGTAAAGGTGGAATATATACCTGTCATTTATTATCGAGATCAAAATTGAATTTAGGCGGCTTTTATATAAAAGGAAGCAAACGCCTCTGCGTCAAAAGTGAAAAATGGACTTTTGAAATTCTCTCCAGATGAAGGAATGTGAGATATTATTTTGCACTATAACTTTACAACACACGGTCGAGAATTTCATTTCAAATAAGATAAAATTTACTAATGTAAAATTTCCACAATATTTTCCATTTAAAATTGCTGTCTTTTGTGCAATCCCGTTCAATTAACGCCCGCGCGGCAATGAAATTCATTTATTCTAAAAACGGTCAACCGTTCAAATCTGCAAATTGGACGCGCCGGTAACCCTTTCGTTTAACATTTTAAAATGAATATTGCGGCCTTAACAACGTCGGCCATGAGTTTGCCCATGTCGCACACGTGGCAGATGGAGCGTGCATAGAACCGTGGCACAAATTCTCCCTCACCCTCCCGCCGGCCGACGTCTCCTCAAGAACGCTCTTTGTGTGCACGTACACGTGTGTGGCGTGGCATTCCCATCGATTGCATAATATCGCCGTCTTTCCGGTAAATAGAATGTCGGGGACGAACGGGGCTATATCGTCCCGTTTCGCCCCGTTTCGCCCCGTCCCGCCGTGATCGTAGCAGTACGTCCCCGGCAGAGTACAGTGCCGCGAACGTTAACCGCGAATTTATTCCCAGCGGCGTGGTGCGGCGCGCGCCCGGCCGAAAAAGAAAATCGATTCGCCGTGTGTGCGCCCGTGTGTATTGAAAATTCATCCACGAACGCGGGAGGACCGAGAATCGACGTCGGCCGGCCGTCGCTGCCAAGTCAGCACGGTTTGTAATTGCGTCGGTTAGCCCGATTACGTTGACTTAAAGGGGATAAACGGTACGCCCCGTTGATTTTCCCCGTCGCCGATCGTTCGCTCGATCGACGTCGATCGCGCGAGAGCATTCGAAACGTTTCCTTCCCGCCCGTCGGCGGCGATTATCGTAATTCCTTATTGTTACGCGCGGGACGTGTACGACGATACGTCGCGTTTGCCCGGCGTGTGACGCGTACATACGATCGGAACGGAATTCGGCCGGTTGGGTCCGGTTAGGTCTGGTCGAATGCGCGACCGCGATCGACCACCGCGCTTTGTCGTTTCGCGCATTCACCACTTACGTGCGGTACGTTACCGGCACGAACCGCGTATTTTCTCAACGCCGAATGGCCGTCCACGAATCAAGCGGCAACGTTTACGTTGCCGGAGAGAAAAAAGCCGGCCGGCGAGTGCTTTTTCAGCCTCCCGTAATTTTATCAACTGAATTTACCATCGTCTCTGTTTTTTGCATGCGCCCTTTTCTTTTTTTTCCGCGCCACTGATATTTCGAAATTGACGAAATCACTATGATGACAATTATAATAAAACAATGACGCGCGATCCGAATATGCAAAATGTTTCATAATCAAGTTTAATATAATTATACGAAGAGAAAATATTATTATTAAAATGTGAATCAGTATATGTATTTATTGGATTAATATTAATTTTAATTCGCTTATATGAACGCAATCGAACTGTTGCTGCAACACACACAATACAACGATGATAAATGCATAGCCGTATTTGACATAACAACATTTCACATTTCGTGCAGATATATATATATTGTACGTCCTAACCAGTTTTAAATATCATCATCGATTTTATGATGCGTAAACATATTTACTAAATGCTGAAGTACGGTGCGTTTTGTTTCGCTAATTGAATTAAATCTTATAAATGATAGAAAATAGTGCTAGTAATTAATAACGCGCCGTTAGTCGGCGTATGCGCATTCATAAATCGAAGTACGGTTGAGAACGCTCCGTCCGTTCTTTTTTTTTTTCCTTTCTTTCTAAACAGCAGCCGAATTTGCGGGCGTTTACGTCGCTACGTTTAACTAACCCGAAACCTCAAATTACCATTTGGCTTGTCGACCGCCCTCATGAACCATCAAGTCGCCGACATATGCCTGCAATCACGAATTGTCCACCGACGCGTGCACTTCTGCATGCACGCATTCTGACGCACTCTGTCGCGCTTTAGTGTCCGTGGACGGGCGATGGGCGAATTTGTAGTTGATAGCACGGTCGGATCGGAGAATTTCGAGAATTTGTTCCACGACGGCGTGGAATATAATTTTTCCAACAAAATGTGTCTCTTGGTTACACCGAAGACGAGTACGAAATAACCAGTTTACACGATACGCTCTTACTCGATTTTGAATACATAATCAGTAATGCGATGTAAAGTTCATTTCTCCCTCCTCTCTCTCTCTTTCTCTCTCGCGCGCGCGCGCGATGTACGAGAACCAAATTTCCTTAAGTGCGCGCAGTAACTTAAGACATAATGTATACAAGAATGTAAGCTCGCCTGACGGCGCACCTCTCTCTTGAGCATAAATAATACAAAATACAAAGTTAAATGTAGAACTTGATGCAGTGTATTTGAATGGTTATTAAAAGCGCTTTTAAAAGCAGTCAATTATGAATGAATAAATACGCTCGTGATAAACATCTGGCTAAAAACGTTGAATGTTATTTTGATTAAATCTAAACGCTTGTGCGCTTACAGCCGCTTACTCGTATTAAAATCGGCGTGAAAATACATCGCGCGTATTTCCGTTGACGGTACGTTATTAATATAACACGTTATATAAAAAGAATAAAAGCTCACGCAACATCATACTGCGCTCTTTAAGAAAGATACATGATTTTCTTTGACGAGGAACACAACAGTCCATCCCTCTTTAACTCTTTCGGTGCAAAAAGCATATGTATATATAAACTATCCGAAAAATGCTCGTATGTGGCCGAAGGGCATAGGACACAGGATATACATGCATTGTCTGAAAAAACGTTTATTGCGGCCACAAAACGTAGGTGAACGCACGCCTAATCTAACCTATAAATTCGGCGTGCCGGCCGATAGCAACCTTCCGCTTTGTCGTGCTGCGCACCGAAAGGGTTAATTTGGTTTTCGTAATTAATTAATGATGTTACTCACATTAACGATCCGGGACATAAATGATCCTGGTCTTGTTAGAAATGTTAGAGTCGTATATTTCAGGCGAAACTTGTCCACTGTCACATCCACTGCACTTTTCCCGCGCGATCATCAACGATAATATTGACAATTTTATCGACTTCTAATCGTGTTTTTCCATAATCCCGACAGAGGGACAAAGTGATCAACGGTGCAATCACGTGATCCTCTTATTACCACCACCATCCGGTCATTGACCTATTCGGTAGTACCGTTACGTAGTCTGTAATAGCTGATCTAGATTCACACCACCCACGCGCTAAAAATGCGGGTGACGCGTCGTACTTCCGCGTTTCCGCATTCCGCCTATAATTAGCATTCGCGCGCGCCGGATTTTCAAAACGCTATAACTCGGCGAAAAATTGACGTAGAGACTTGCGACAAAGATGGTTCTCTTGCGTTTCGCGTCCCCTACACGATTATGCACAGTACGTATGCTCTTATCATGACACGTATATATTTATGTATAAGTTTATGTAAATAAAATGATAGAATATAAATTGTAGAAGAGTCATATCCGAATAATTCAAGAAAATTCATACATTTATAAATAATATGCTTGCTTCTCGCGAAAATATTCATTTATTCTACTTTATTAAAAAAAATAATCTATTAAAATGAGTAATGATCTTGTGTTCCCGAAAAGATTGAGCAAAAAAATTATACAGGCTTTACTGATACGCGGCGTATCACGAATTCCACGCGGCTCGCAGGAGAGCCCTCGAATTAAGCTCGACTTAAGCTCACTGTAATCTTATATTAGAATCCTGACTATTCCGTGCCTATCAGCCCCCGATGAAATGCCACGCGCGCTATAAATCATTTTCTCCCCTGGGTGTCATGACGACTCGCCTCCGGCGCACGAGACTTGTACACGAGAATCATTTTATTGTCGTGTGCATTTTATCGAAATTTCTATGGCCGACCGCGACGAGGTTGTTGAAATCAGGCTTATCATCATAAATACAGGAATTCCCGTGAAAAGCGCGACAATCTCCGTCGCCGCGGTGATGGCAGCGTAACATTAATCTACGTCGCTGATGGTAGGATATGACACGCCTCCGAGTGTACTAATGCTTCCTGCAGAGCTTTCAGAAAAAGGGCGTTGTAACAAAAATTCGAAAAACTTTTCTAAAATAGCCGGGACACGCTTCACGCTCGACGAGCGCCATCGGACTCGGGGGTTCGACGCGTTGCGTTTATTAATTAACCCTTTCGGTGTGCTTTACGCCCTGGCGGTTCCAGGATTGCCCGGATTTTTCGAACTTTTCTGATTAAAAGTAAAGAAGAAAGTTCCCTCAATCTACTTCCCTAGAGATTGATACTTTGAATTCTTGACTAAAATGGGTTAAAGCTATATACCTCGAATTTTATTATTGTGAATTCCACGATTAAAATTGCAAAGTAATTTCGTTCACTTTTTGTTAAATAGTGATTATATAATTAAGTACTGTGTATTCAGTTGAATTATATATTTCTGTAATAAACGTTTGCTCTATTTCTTTTTCGATATAATTAGTAAATGTTCTAAATACCCATTTAAATATTAAACAATGTAATGTAATAATTTATTAATATTATTAATTAAAATAATTAAATAAAATTTATTATTATTACGACAATATAATATTTTTAAATGCAACATGAAACACAAAATATAAGTAAAATTTTTAATCACAGACGTTGAGAGTTTTATGAATTAAAAGTAAATGAAAAAATATGCAGAGTTATTGATTATATATGAAATTTAATATTGCAGTAAAATCTATTATTTCGTGTAATGGAAAAAAATGTGCAATCGCTTTGTAGCGGAAAAATTATGTAAGGACAAATATATTAATAAACATCATAAAAAAATAATAAACTTACGTCGACAAAACATAAATTATTTTATATTGCTCTTCGATTGTTTTTAGCCACTCTTAATATATTTATTATCACTCGACATTTTATAAATTCTTTGTTTTATTGACAGTTTAAATGAAATAAACTATTATAATGACTTGTTCGCTGGATAGCTGTCTCTCTTAGTATTCCCTTCAAGAATTAAATATGCATATTAACTTTATTAAAAAAGAGAAATGCACATTGATTTAATAAGTATTTCCATCGGTTACGCAGCCTGACATTAAGAGCAGTTTAATGTCAGGCTATTTTAAATGGCACTAAGTGAAAAGCCGATAAATGGCGCTTTCGCACCGCCCACACCACGGGACCATACAAAGAATACCGGTCGGTTCCGAAGTGTATCGGTACTTATCGCTCGCTAATTCCCATCAAGCACGTTACCATCCCTCCTCCCCCCCCCCATCCCACCAGTATGGTGCTTCCGGCCGCGAATATCTACACCGAGACCACCGCCGTTTCATTGGCTGTATATCGCGGCGGCATCGCGGCGGAATTAATCCGACGGCGCTCCCGACGGTACGCGCTATCGAAACCTCCCTCTATTTCCTCGCGCGCCCCGTCTCGCAAACTCGCCGGGCAGACGCGTTTATCGTCGAGTCGGATGCGTGCACTTCCGGCAGTAGGCATTCGCGGTCACCGAGGTGTGCGGAATGCGCGTGTGGGCATCGCTGTGGCCGCCGCCGACGCCGCCGGCGGCGGAGGCGGGGGAGGGAGAGGGGACGTTGGAGACTTACCGATGCGGTGATTGATAACATTATCGATCATTGTGTGCCGAAGCTTCGACGCGTCCGCGTCGACGGATACCGGGCGGCGTTGGCGCGGGGAGGACGGCGGGCAAAGACGCTCTCCTCGCCGCGAGTGACGAGACGCACGACGAAGCGTAGGGCAGCTCACCCTCCACGGGGGGATGGTTGGCTCGGAACGCGGAGGGGGGGAGAAGGCAAGGAGGAGAGTGTGGGGAGCGATGGTGGGGTATAAAAGACGTCCGCGGCAAAAACTGTGAAGCGCTCTGTAGAATTTTCAATAAGGCGGGGTCGGAAGAAGAAGATTAATGCAATGCCGCCGGGGGACCTTAGGAGACGACAGCGACATGACTGTCAAAAGAACATCCCTGGAGGCACAGTCCATTCGCTCTCTCGCACAGCGAAACCCTCTCCGTTTCCTTTCTCGCTTTCTCCGCCGTCCCGCTCCGCCTTTTTCCGTCTTTCCTTCTGTCTTCTGGCTCTACGGTTCTCCGCTAGCCTCTTGAGCGTCTGGCGTCGTCGTCGTCGTCGTCGTCGTCGTCGTTGTCGTCGTACCTTTTCCTTTTCGCCTTGCGTTTGTCCCTCTGTTCGCGAGCAGATAATCGTCGTACACGTGCGCAGGTGCGCCTATCTTCGGGTGACCGAGCGAAATAATTCGTCGGGGAGGGAAAAAATCCGTATAACGGATCCGCCCGCCTGCGGCCTGACCCGAACAGAACACTGCCGTTTCGATGCCGCGATCTCTTGCGCTAGTCTCAAAGCTCGAGTCAATCAGTAGACACGCCAAAGCCGTGCCAAACCCTCGAACCTCTGGGGTGAATCTCGAGACAAACTGCGCTGTCTAGCCGGCAGCGTTCGATCAATCACGAACGGGCTGTCTGCAGTATTAAGCCGATGTGCGTATTCATATACGCACGCATGCACACTGGCTCAAAGCATGCGTTGCTGGGGAACGCTTGACACGCAACGAGCGGTGTCAAGTGGAATGCTTGACGACGTGAGGAAAAATCGGGTGAAATCGCGCTGAAAAAAAAGACGGATATCAGGTCACCATTATCGCAACTCTAGCGGACGAAGAAGCGCGGTTCTGTCTTACAAATAAGCTAAAGGGAGGAAACTTCTCACGTTGCTTTTTCACACGTAATCAGGGAAAAACGTAAATAGGGAAAAATCACAAGATACAATTTTATTTCAGTATTTAAATACCATTTTTTAAATATTAAAATTGAGAATTTTGAAATTATAAATTTTATGATTTATACTTCAAGCGATTAAGCACTTCAATTCGGTGACTATAAATGTATTCCGCATTCTTATTTCCTTCCATGTGCTACGCTTTATTAAAATTGAACGCCTCTTTCACTGTTATTGCAATGGTAATTTTGGTACATATTATTTTATATTAGAAAATATTTAATAGCGCAAATTTATTCTTCTTAGTCTGCTCTCTAAAGCGCGGCGAATGCCAATAAAATGCGATCTCAGTTGTCTGGATTTAATGAAGATTTATACGCTGGCCGCTATATGTCGTACAGATCACACACGCGTGAGCACAATTACGGCGTAAATCTTGATTAAATGCGCGGCGCATTTTAATGTAATATATGTACATTTCATTCTCGAGAGATCAAGGCGCGTTATGTTATGTCATGCCTCGGCAAAATACTCCATAACGCGGGAGATTGCATCCGCTTAAACCTTCATCATAATTTCTCCCGTCGTAGACGAGCGATACATAGTGACGCGGAATCATTAGGTCGTCTGCAAAAAGCCCGCGCTCACAGGTCCGTCGCAAATTTCTTCGCGTCGAATTTCCTTCGAGACGGACAATAAGATTTTAATATTAAATGTTACAGCCTGATCCCGTGCATTAAGCCGCCAGACGGGATGCGTTTCCGTCGATAAACCCATACCGCCTAAGCATCCAGCATCCGCTGGATCCTACAGCATCCGACGGATGGTAGAAACTGAGAGTACGCGGAGAATGAGAGGAGTATCGCCGAGTACGAGCGCCAACTGCGGATCGAACTGCGCGAGAAGAAGCGCTTTTTTTCGATCGGCAGAGTCGCACCCGCGGCAAAGTATCCCAATTATTATTTCTTCGATTTTGCGCGCTATTTGCATCATTTAATAATGCAAATATCCTTTCTTGTTAATATTTCGATTAATATTTCACGTGGTATGTTTTCTTCCACGTGGTAGATATAATTTTATGAAACGCAATATTTGACTATTAATTCAGAATTAAAAACTACAAAGTAATATCGATTTATTATTAACGAAATTTCGCCAATTCTTTCTCATTGTAGCAATAATGCGGTTGCGGAGCGCGAACTGATGTGCGACCGAATAAAAAAAATGCCACACGTTATAGCTATATTTATATATTTTATCAAGTTCCCATCATTATAGATTTAGCGGTCGTTCGCTCGATTATTCACTCGGTCCGCCCTATCCCTTTACACAAGCCCTACATACTGCGACACGCCGGTGAAGTAACTTACAAGCATCCCGGTGTAACTTCTCGGCGGCCCGGCGCAAGTTACACGGAAGTTAAAGCCGGAGGACAGTAACAACGTCCTTTTCGCTCCGCCGCGTGACGAGCGGCGCACTCCTTCAAGAGGACTTTAAATGGATGCGGCGTGATGTTTTCGGAAGCGTTCAATAGTACGTTCGTGAGTCGCTGATACTCCTCCGCCTGTCTCTTTATCTCGGCGCGATGGTGCCTGCGGTCCTCCTCCAATTCGCAGCGTCTCATCGTCTCGACGTAATTCTGCTGCTTCTTCAACTCCAGCCCGTAACGAAGCACCCTTTGTCTGCTCTCTTTCTGTTCCATCGCGGTCAAGTTAGCGTCCATCTCGATCTGCCTCTCGAGTGCCTCTCGCTCCTCCGCTTTCAGCCGTCGTTCCTCCTCCCCCGCCTCCCGCTTCGCCCGCAACTGCTCCTCCCGACCGCGAAGAACTTGCCGCATGGCTCGTTGACGAGCTTCTTTGAATTTCCTGAGCGCGAGCTCGCGCCTCGCGTCGACGTCCTCGCGCGACTGTCGCACGATGGCCTCCACCTCCAATTGACGTTTCACCTCTTCCCGCCGCAGATCCTCCAAATACTTCAGATAGGCAAGCAACTCCATCCGCAGTGCCGCGGTGTTCCCTTTCGCGCGTGCCTTCTCCTCGGCCAGCTCTTCCTCGGCCATCGCTTTATACGCGCGATCCGCCTCGGCCTCCTCGCGCGCGCGCTCGGCGAGGCGCCTCTTCGCCAGCAGGATCTGCTCCTCGAACTCTCTCTTGAGAATTTCCCGCTTCTGCCGCTCCGTCTCGAGATTCCGCAATTCCGCCTGACGCACGTCCTCCCAAAGCCGCTCTAGATGCTCCTGCTCGCTCTTTTCCATTCGCTTCCTTTCTTCTTCCAGCGCCAATCTGTCCGCCACTTGTTGGGCCAAAGCGGACACCGTTTCCCGCCGAGCTAAGACTCGTCTCTCCGACTCTTCCGCCTCTCTGTGCTTCATCATCTCGAGCTCCTTCAGCATCACCTTGCGCCACAGACCGTCCAGTTCCTTTTCCGCTAATCTCCTCGCTTCGTTATCCGCCATTTGCGCCAAATTACATTGCTTCGCATCGATCGCGCATCTCTTCGAGAGCTCTTGCTTGACATCCGGATACGAGGCTAGATACTGTTGCATTCGTTTCGCGGCTACCAGCGATTCGTGTTCCTCTTCCTTCCGCTTTCTCAATTCTTCCGCTCTCGAACGCGCCTCTTTCGATCGAGCGTCTTCACTCCGCTGAGCCTCCTCCACGATCTCTCTCGTTAGATCCGCCTCCTCGTTTAATACGAGATCGCGCAGCTTCTCTCTACGCGTCTCTAAACTCTCCTCGTATGCTGACATATCTGCAGATTAGTTATTGTTGTATTAATGGCTAGTAATTATCTCTTCAGCAGTTCTCATTACGCGAGAGGGAATAGCGATTCAATTCAAGTAGAGATATACGTATGGATTTATGCACAGCGAATGAAATTAAATGATAAATAGAGATATGTATTTTTATACTTTACTAAATTTAAATATCAAAATAGCCATATATTTATGCGATATTAATATCAATATCATCATATATTAATTAATTTTACAAGCTATATTAAAATTCAATAATAATCTATTGTATAATGAATTAACAAATGGTAATTATATGTACAATAATTACCTACAATTCTGTAGCAAAAGTATCCATGTATAAATATTTATTGAGAAAATCTGTTTCATTAATTTTTATCTCCCTTATCTTTCTTAGGTCACACAAATTTTTTATAGATATACGTAATTTTATATATATACGTAATAAAAAATCATGTCAATAGATTTTTTTAATACCTTGTTGAACTCGTTGGCGAAGATTCCTGTTCCTAATCTTCCGATTGCTTTCTTTCTCGAAGTTCAGAGTTTTAAGGAACTGCTCGTATTCCCTCTTGTCCTCCGATTGCTCCTTTGCGCCCTCGAAGATAGATCTATGCGAATCACGGTACTTTGCGATGCGACAATCCTCGCGCAACTTGTGCCCGTAAGATATATTCGCCGTACCGGGAACGTCAATAGGATGTTTTCTCGTTTTGAGTGAACTGCACTGTACTTTAGATAACGTCAAACTCATCTTTTGACGTTTACTATAGAGATTGATAAAAAACGCCAGAGATCGACAGTCTTTCCGGACAATACTATTCGTGCGCCGGATCCGATAATGCGTGTTTCAAGTTCGCTAGCTTGTTTGTATAGTTGCTATGACAATATGTACTTATCGAACCAATATTTCTTGGACGAGAGATGAGAGAAGATGAAAAGAAATCGAATAAAAAGTTAATTCTAGTTTCATGTTCCATCAGTCAAATGTTTTGCCGTATTGATAAAATTTCATAATAATATTCGTCAAAATATATTTGCGCAAATACATATATTCCCAACATAATCATTGCGAGTTGTAATATCTGAATTTTAGCCACGCGGTTATATAGATTATTACCGACAGCTTTAGAATTTTGGTAAATGTATTTCAAAGTTACTTACATTAGTGTACAGCTGCACAGCACGAAATCTGTACAGTTCGAAATAATGCGCCCGCGGCGATGCATGCAATGTAATATCCGTGCCGGAATGATCGAATATTCAATATTCCCAAATTAGATAGGAAATCTAATATGATCGGAGAGGGAGTTGGTTACTATATAAATAGCATGCACGTTATTAGGTATGATTGATTAAACAAAGATTGCAAATTTGAAAGTAAAGCCCATTTGCTCTGTATTATTGCTGTACAATTAAAACTTCTCTTTTCTGCCTTTGACGCGGCGCGAAATGGAATATTCGCATTAGATCAGGAACGTATGAGCATTGAATAAACAATTTACTACTTCATGTTTCGAAACTTGTGTTTACAAACATCAAAATTATAATATGCTGAGGAATTAAGAAGAAACATCTGTTGGATACTGTCGATATATGCATAACTGTTTTAATCAATCCGTTACACATATATGTAAAATCTCGCAATTACGTTTCATAATTTACAACACAGTTTTTTTGTACGTCTAAATACATCTAATTTATTAATCGCACAGAGGTTTAAGCTATGAAACAAAAATTTGAATGCACTCTATTGTGCAGGAATGTAATACATAATACATTACATTCGACATATTAATTTTAAAGTTAGCTTTATGACTGCGGTATTATTTTATAATGATCGCACTTGAAGAAACATGAACAAGAATCATTTATTATAGATAAAAATAAAATACAATTAAATACAAAATTAAATACAGGAAACATTTCGTAAAACTTTTATCAATTTTTCCGTCATCAGACATTTCGATAGATTAAAACTAAAGTTTATCATATTTAGCATGATGTGCACTATGATAATATTAAAATAATTACATATATAATTACATAAATCTGATTTTCGTTATATAAAAGATGACTTACGTAATATTACGAAGTTTATCTTATTCATTCTATCATCATGAAGTAATACTGCGTCATAAAATAATACATCTTCATAATTTAGCGCTATTTCGCATTTTATGATACAGCTCATGTCCGTTCATATACAGTACTGACAATATTTTTGGTTTTTTTTTTGTTTTAACTCAGTTATGATATCAATTGATATGCTTTTACAAATAATAATACTTTTCAATTGTTCAAGACACGCATCGTAGCATGTAAAATCATCATGGACTGTGTGTAGATGAGATAAATGATGGAAGCATAATTAAGAGTGTTGGGCAAACATAATGAATTTTCGGAAACCTCCGAAAGAGTTTACAATGTTATAAAAAAATAATTAATATACTATGAAGTAAAATATACGGTAATGTATAGAAATATATAGAAATGAAACATTTTGAGCTGTAAACTTGCGTGTATGCTTAACACAACACGATGTATCATGAAAAATTGAGCGTTTCAAATTCATTCACCCGTATTTGTTTAATCATCCACCTTCAATCAATCATTAAAATCAAACTGATATCCAAACATAATGAACTAAATTATTCGAAAACGATCACGTATACGTTATGACAATACAGCGAACGCCAACGAATGTGCGTCGTCGTCACGAAGATGCTCGCAAAAGCTCGAATTGTGTCGCGAGGAAATTTTTTTGTATCTTTTTTCCGGAAGAGCTTTTTTGCGACTGGCAGTCCTCGGTTTTTTTTTCGCTTACAGAACAAAAACGCAATAGTCGATGCGAAAATATTAAGGCGTCGAACTGCTGCCGGTATTTGCTGGCGTGATCCCCGTTGACGGCGGAACGGAAGCTGTCATTGTTGGCGGCGCGTAAGGACTTCCACAAAGCTGGTCGGCTATACGCCCGCCCTCCCGCAGCCCGCTGAGAAATGCGCCATGCACGGTGGCTGGATAATTCCGTATAGTGTGCTCTCCTGAAAATCCACCGTGTATGTAGATCAATATGTCAGTTTCGAGGCAGTTATCACAATATAACATTCATGTGCGATTAATCTGTTGGATTTGCATTAAAATTCTTATAGCTATTAATTTGCTACGATTTTTGTTGACTTACTAATCTTGTTAAATTGCGACAAATTAGTGCAAATTTGCCTCTTATATAATAACCAATATTTCGCGAATAAATAGGATCTTTAAACAAGCATCGACGGAATTACTACACACAAATCGGAAATGGAGTACCGTAGCGAGAGAAATTGCATCGCGCATCAATCGACGTTTCTAGAAAGGCAAACGATGCTCACGCGCGCACATTTACTAGAATGCAAATACGAACGTTGTAAATACACTTGTCAAAGGAGAAACTAAAATGATAACAGTTCAAGCTTTGTGCATTCTCGTAATGTGCATCGCGAAGTATCGAACGGATTTAATATTTACCTGCGAAGAACACTCTCGGCTGCGGCGGTGGTTGATTGATCAGATGCGGCGGTGACACGGGCGCCGCCAGGAGATCGTAATCGCTGCCGGAGCTGCCGACTGCGACGAAACTGTACGATCCTCTTGCCCAAGGATCCGCGCGCCATCTCGTCACCACGCTTTCGCGCGGCTGCGGCACCACTTGATTGCCAAAAATACCCTGTAGCGAAAAAGACTCGTTCAATCCACCACCGTTTCTCTTCATAAATTAAAGAGGATCGCGAGGCGTGTAACGTATTAACGGTGTCGGAGATCGGCGTTGTTGTATGCTCAGGCTAACAATAAGATCGAGATCTGACATGCCCCTCATCTTTCGCGCGCCAACTAGAAATTTCATCCACTTACTTTCAGGACGGCGATGCAACGGCCGACGATAACATCGTCACTGACATTTTCCATTACGCAAGCTGCTTCACCGGCGACGAGGGCCAGCAGGACAGGCGCCTTGTATAAGTTCCAGAACAAGAAGAGCTCGCCGCGCGAAGCGGTGGTGCTTCCCACGTGGCCGAACAAATTGGCCGTGGGATCCCAGAAAATGCGCTCGAAGCATAATACTACCTGAGAAATTAAAGAGAAAGTTGTGAGATAAAAATTCCACCGAAATACCCGATGAAAACTTTGTAGCTTTTCTAATATTACGCGCGATACTTGCGTTACGAACTCGTTGAAAAGAAAAATTTTCACAAATAAATTTTGATTTTTATGAAACTGAAAGTTTTCACATTTAATTTCTTATTATTGAAATACGTGTATATTTAATCAAAACATTCTACCATTTGAAAGCGTTAAATTTTGCACCGAATTTGAAAGCAATTGATTTTAATTCATCGAGACGTGCAATTTTGATGAAGCTGTTTATTATAATACGATTGTGCGTATTTCGTGAGAGGGCATTGAAGCTGCATAATATTCCACTTGACTGCATATACGTGAGTATCCGAAAATTTTGATTCGTTTATTTGTTTTCGAGCCTGCTGAAATGTTACAACATTCCTTAATTTGCCGTTGATGTACGCTAAATGCCTCGAATATCGAACCCTCCGATGTGGTCCTCATTCGTTAAAAGAACGCATGTTAATTGCTGTTGGAATCTGCCACTGTGCGATCGGTGATAAGACTTAATGCCTGATTATGCAGTCCTAATGCCCTTACACCGACGGCCGGCGGGACCATCCGTCGTCCCTCTCGCGAGCGGCATAAATCAGACCGCTTTAGAGGCGACAGCAACTTACCGAAGATTTGCGTCCCGCTCACCTTATTTAAATTGCCGAAGCCGAGCCGCTGAATCGCCTGAGACTTCCAATCCGGAAGCGGCGGAGTGAAGGTGACCCCGGAAGGCGGCGTGGTAATCTTGAGGACGCCGAGGGGCAGCGTAACCAGAACGGCGTCCGCCTTATAAATGGTGTTGTTCGTGTGCGGGCTGCGGGAGGGCCCAGCCCAGATTTCCACGCCATTTGGCCCGTATCGCACCGCCCTGGCAGCTGTGTTCAATCGAATATCAAGTCCCTCCGAGAGAGCAACAGGTACGCAAGAATAACCGTTGCGAACTGCAAGGTGAAAAAAGGGCAAAAGATGAATCAGTATTCGGGGATTTATTGTAATGCCGGACGGGGTGAGAGAAGGTGCGCTTTCCGCATGCCGGGAGGAGGATCGCGGCGTAGCGGGGAATCTCTCCCTCCCGCGCGATCGAGAATGATGGGAGAGAGCACCCTTTCGGTAGGCTAGTCACGTATAGCGCGCGATAGGGGCGCCCGTTTAACGAACTAGGTCGTTGCGTTAAGAGTTTCGTTATACGTTCCTTTGATTTCGAGAGCGGTGCGGCAATATGCTGAATTGGCGTATCTTCGCGGGCACGTGCGCTCCGGCGTCGCGCGCTTTTACGTCCCCGGAAAGTAGATCGAATCAAGAAGCTCTCGTTCGTTACGCGCTCATCAAAAGACCTCCCTCGTGAACGTAAATATCGCTGCAACGCGCACCGTTATACGCCGGATGCAATAGGGGCGCCCATTATGACTTAATTGGATATTTCGCGTTACGCGCGCTTAAATCAGAGCACCTGACGCGGACCTAAATTCTCGTAAGCACATTCGAACACCGTAACATCGAGGCGTGTACTAATAATGATACACAGGCGTCTCCACTTAGGGGGTTAATTATGTTGATGGCTACCACGGCGCTAACAAGCACTCTCCTATCGGCGCTGCATCCCATTTCAGAAATTTAAATTTACGCGTGCGTTATGTCAGGCTGAAAGCACGGTAATTTAAATTAGCACGTTTTGGGGACATGCCTGTGCATTATCGCGATATTTCGGTCGGCCGAATGGCCCTTCGAGGCACCGGCGGTACATATTGATTACGCGTAACGTGTCGAACGTCCGCGAGATACAATCGACGAGAAATGTTGCCGCAACCTTGGCCGGCAGCTAATGATCGGCGCGTTCTATCGGGGTTCGGTGATGCTGCTGCTGCGGCATTACCTCCGGCTGGAGCTGTCGATGTTAACTGGCTGGAATCGATAAATCATGACACGTACGGCAGGACGTCGTCGTCAAAAATTTATGTCGATGCCGTAGTAAACATAACCGGAAATGTTCCCGAATGCCGTACGTGTGCGCGACAGTTAATGACAAACCGCGCGATGTATTAGTCGTTACATCATACCCGCATCAATTCCCGCATTCGTTGAACAAATTAATGTGCGTAATAATGTTGATAACAAACGAAACATATTTTCCGAATTCGATGCGATTATAAAAATTATTTATACACTGCCGCAGCTCTGTGCAAAATTGATCATTTCTCTGTGCTGCAAAAGTACCGGTTAAAAAAAAAAAAAAAATAGATCAAACATACGTGCAAGCGTTATTTTTTTTAATATTCGTTTCGGTAAACAAAATACTTTCAAATTTTTAGATAGTCCGACTTGTGAAAAATTAAAACATCAGAAAAATTCAATTTTTCATGAAACTATCGTTGTGCGCTTAAAAAAAGCGGAAAATTGGAAAACGCGAACGTAAAGTGAAAAGCGGCGGAAACTAACGCACTTCCGATCGTCATTCTACTTCAATTGCAAATATGAAAATTAGGATAATAGAAAATCAATACTTGTTATTCCGCGTTGAAGGAATATAAATTGGATCCAGTTGCTCGGATCGCATTCGACTATCACGCGTTGCCGCTCGACATACCCGACTGTGTCTGACGTTGATTACAGAAACCGTTTGTAATAAGTGAGAGAATATTCAACAGCCCGTCGGGGAGAACGATCCGAATGCACGAAAATTATGGTAAGTCGGGTCTCTGCCTAAACTCGGGAATGGGAAATTAATTCCTCGCTGCGAGGATGGCCCCCGCGCCGCGCGATCCAAAATCGTTAATGGAGAGGATAAACTGATCCATTAATCTCTCTCGCTTCTTCTGATCGTACGGCGAGCGTGCAGAGGAAGTCCACGATGGCGGGCGGCCAAGAGAAAGGATGATGACGAAAGAAGGAGTCCCCTCGAATGCCGGGAGTTTTTCCCGCTGACGAAACAGCGATGACTATCATCGGTCGAGCGAGTCGCGCTCTCTCTCGCAACGCGCCGACGGCGCGGGGCAACTCCTGTCGGGAAAGGCAAATATTTAGAGGGCAGTCTAGCATAGTAGCCGGGGAATCCGTCCCGCCGTAGGGCGGAAGACACGCCGCCGGGGCGGACGGCCCTTCCCTTCCCGGTTAACAGAAATAAAGGGGGGAATACAACTCGAGCGGATCCGGCCGCGCGGCGGCGGCGGCGGCGGCGGAGGTCGGGCCGCCGTCGAGATGCCCTTCTCTGGGGCACCTTTTCTCGTTCTATCTCGACCATCGGCCCCATATACGCCACCCTCTCGCCCGCGTGTCTTGTCTTCCGTTTGATCTTTGCTCGCAGTATTTTTTGACGGCGAGTCGAACAATTTGTATGCCGCGGTGGTTTTCAATTTACATTTAAATTGGTTGCTTATGGCGTTCTGTCGTCTCGACGGGAGTCGAACCAAGGAGGCGGAGGAGAGAGCCCGCGCGCCGCCGCCGTTGCACGGGCGTCGGGGAACAGTCAAATACTGAAACGGCCTCGCGAACGTGTGGCGGAACTCTTGCCGGGTTCAATGTACCGGCGCCGGTGCTTTTTTGCCGGATACGAGCGCCCGAGAGAGGAGCGCGAATCCTCCGCGCGAGAGCGAGAGAAACATCGGCGGAGAGAGAAAGAGAGAGAGAGAGAGGGAGAAAGAGCCCGCCGCGATGCTTTTCTTGTTCACCCATCCGTTATATCAACATTCCGAATCGCGACTCCCGAAGGTATACGGTGGAACGCGTGCGCGCGCGCGCGCGCGCGAGGACGAGAGTCGTTCGTCTCTCGAAACCCGCTTCCGCGCCGCGAGGTTTCGGAAGTTCAACCAAGCGACGCCTCCGCGTTTCGTTTTTGATGAGATCATCCTTCTGACGATTACTGGGACACAAGATTCGTCGAAGGATCGATCCGGTCGCCGGGAAGAACGATTTACGTAACTTTGCGAATACATTAGGGAGAGTGTAATATTTTTATATGACACAAGAGAGCTCTTTAGGGCCTCTTTTTAATCTCTCTTCTTACGCTTGCAACTTTTTATATTTTTAAATATAATTATATTAAAATTTATTTCAAAGTTTGATTGCTTTATGTCTTTCACTCGACCTGCGCGCCAGGAATTAAATTTTCGCCCCGTGAAACTCCGCCCCGCGCGGCGAAAAAGTTTTGCCATTTGAATGCACATAATGAAGTGCACACATGGACGCCGTATAAATAGCCGGAAAAGTATGCAGTGTGAAATTCGATACTAGCTGTGTAGCAGGTCTTTTTTTTATTTCCTTTCAATCTCGCGCCTCGTGAAAGAGGTGCACGCCGAGCTTTTCTTGCTCAGCCATCCGTTATATCAACATTCTAAATCGCAAGTCCCGGAGGTATACACCGTGCAGCTAGGCAACTGTTGATACCTTATAGATTGGAAACTTCGGTAGTGCGAGGTAACGCGCAGGTTTCCACCCTCTTGGCTCCGTGCATCTCGCCCGAACGGGCCATACATCACTCTATTATCATGCTGTAATTGTATTTTTTAAACGTATCCTACTGCATCTTACCTCCGCATCGTGATTCGACGTGCAATAATTCTTTCGCTATCATTTCATCGATCCATGTTTCCACCGGTAATAATAATCCACGGCTAAACGTAGCTCATTGTTTGATTGAAATTTACTGTAAGATGGAGCTCGATTGCACCAATGAGGAAACTTTGCAATACGATCAAGAATAGTCGGCGTAAAGAATCAGGCGATAACTTGGAAACTTCAGCTTAGAAGTTTAAAAAAGATGCCTATTACTTTTTTATCTCATTCCCATCAACGCGATCTGACTTCGCCCTACGTTTGGAAAAAGGGTGTAATTTACGAACATTAAGAAGAGAAGGCGAAAAACTTTGACAACTAATTTAAGCTACTAGAAATAATATTTATACGCGTGCAAAATTTTATTATAAAACATATGAGATATTAGTTTAATCGATGATTATGTAAGTCGTGCAAAAAGTCGCGCATGTATCGCAGAGCGCATACACGCAAAACATAAGTGTATGATGAATATAGTAAATCGCGCAGCCATTCTCTGTGCTTATACAGGGATCTTCTACGGAAGTCACGACGTATTTCTCCCCTACCTATCCGTTATGCCAACATTAATTAAACGTCGTGACGATGTAATATGTGGCACGGTGAGAGGTAGAGGGGGGGGGGGGGCGAAACCAGTGTAAGGCAGCCGTACCAAATAATGTCGGCTGCATACGCCATTTGGAAGCACATAATAATACATATGTATTATATAGATTGTCAAAATCTAGAGCACCGTAATGATGTTGTCTATCTGAAGTTATGTAATCCACATTATACAATCTCGTTGACACGAAACTATAAAATTCAATCGCGTTAATATATATTTTCAAAACTAAACTGATAAAAAGATGGAAAGTGTGTTCTACAATCGTCGCCCAATATTTTTACTCGACTTATATATTTTCGAATGTGGATACAACAAAAACAAAAAAAAACTAAAAATCTAAATATTTAATTACGTTGTATCGCGGAGATATATCTTGCATCTGCAAATTCTTCGTATCTCTGTCCATTCGTAAGTTTAGCGACGACGTTCTGTATAATTTGTACAGATAAAGATAAAGTTAATTGGAATCGCCGCGATATTTATGATGCTCGCCAAAGATGTAAACGCCTGGGGATGTAACATTCCTAGATCGCGCTACTAAGTAACGCACGGAGATCGATATCGAGACGCGATTTATTACGATTGTCACACATTCTGTGCAAATGAGCTTGTATACCTTCCCACAGATGCATTTCCTACGTTCTTACGAAACGGTAGCGACTCCACACTCGGCACTGTATAACTGCGTTATTCTACAATCGAGTTAACATCTCGCTAATTTATTCGCGAGGCCGCAGCATCAACCCTTTCGATTTTAAGTAAACGATATATAATTGTTATTATTAATTTCATATTACGTTTTATTTTTTTATTATAATTTATACACGTGAAAAATTGTCCCGCACTTGAAATGTTAAAAATACAAGATAAAGTTGAACCATGTTCTTTAACAACACTGCACCTTCTTTCAAACTCTTTCCGATTCAAATTTACACAACTTCGCTTTAATTAACTTAACATGTTTTTCCATCCAATCTCATATTTCGCAAATAAACATGATTTGAATAAATTCGGGCGGCTCACGGGCAAAATAGAAAAAAATGGACTTTCTCCCTTTCGTAGGTGATAATTATCGCAGGACTGATTTGCGTTTGGCCGTGCTGTCCACGAAAGTAGCCAAATTATTCGAAACCGGTTTCGTGCCGGGGATACGCGAAACACACTTTACGCCATACTGGCATAATTGGTAGTGAGCGCAAACGCTTTTTAAAGCGCTACTTTGTATTTAATCGAGTTTTCGCGGAACCGGCGAAGAAGCTATATCCCCGGCAAAATACGGAAGCTACTTTCCAGCCGATATCGATGAAACGGGCGTGGCCGCTTGTGATAAATACGCACCAGCGGACGTGTAAATCGCTACAAGATATCGCTAAAATTAAACAGCCCATTAATTTAAGAGATATTAATAAGTCTAAATTACGTATAACGCACACAATCTAACGATTTCAATATTCATGCGACTGACGCATGCATATGCATATTATTACGTGACGGGATATTTTATAATTGTTGCACCTCGCAACTTTTCGAATTATCGATAATCCGGGGGACGGCGGCGTTTCGCCGGCGCGTCGCGACGTATAATTATCGAAATAGCGGAACCGCGCTTATTAATATATTGTTGACGGAGTGTAGACCGGTTAAGGGAGTAATCGATGTTCATGCATCCACCATGAATCATATGTAAATTTGAACAAGGTGTTCCTAAATTACGGCTCGTTCTTTCAGTTGCGGATTCTTTCAACAATTTCGACTTCGACATAATTTTAACATGAAAGCTGTATTATTATTTCAAGGAAAGAATCAATTAGAATATCCGATCAATCAATTAAAAAATCTCAACAGTTTTTATGAAGAAAAGATTTGTTTGAAACCTTTCTATGTAATATCCGCGAATGTTTCTTTATGAAAATATTATTACCTGCTTTGATCCCACTTCAAGAATAATGTCTTGCCACTTGCCAGATTTGTAGCGCGATGATTATGACGTCGGCGAAATAGATCGCGTATCACAGCAGCTCTTCTCGAGAGTAAAAGCGTAACTTGGGGAAGCGCGCGGCGGGAAAGCGACCCCTCTCCGCTCATAATTATCGAACGCACCGTCACCTTTGCCCCGTTTGTCGCGACCGGGTAATTAAACTCGAAACACCCGGGCTCGTTCGCCGCCATCGATAGCTCGTCAATTGCAAACCGCGGTGAACTAGGGATCCCGCGACGGAATCCCGCGAAGACGATAAATTAGGCGCGCGCGAAGGAACGGAGGATAAAAAAAAAAGAGTCGGCGAGGGCGGAAGAAGTAAGGCGAGAAGAAGGAGGAGGAAACAAGGGGGGGAGGAGGGGCAAGGGGCGGAAAGACGCGAGCGGAGAAGAGATCGGACGGTGGAGAGCTCGCGAGGTCTCGCTCGCGCGGCAACGAGATATTTGAATACGGCTATACCGCGAGTAAATCGTCCCGTCCGCAAACGAGCAGCGAGCTACACAAGAAACGCATTTGCCTGCCAGATGGTGGGAGAGTAGGTAGCCCCCGGGGCCCCGGCGTGGCGCGCGGAGGGGAGATTCCGTGTCGTGCGGAGAAAGGATGGGGCTGAAGCGGGCCCGCGGTAAGTCCTCCTCGTGCAGCAAGGGGGCGAGCTCGCTATCGACCGAGCTATCTCCCACCACCACCACCACCACCGCCACGTAGCAGTTGCGCCGTAATATATAGGCCGTATCTCAGGCCCGCAAATTGCCTTTTTAAACACAACAAGACGGCCGTGCCCCCTTTCAATTTACGCGGGTCCCTTTTTTCGCGTGCGCGGCCCATGCCGTTTGCCACCAAAACCACCTCCCGACGAGGCCCACC